AAATAAAACAGGGCACACACTGACACCTGATAGTCATCTCACTGATTGAAAACACCTCTGAACAGATGGACTCTAATTTCACCTTCAAATTAACAGCTAATCCTAGAGATTCACATACTTTTGCTGCTCACAGATATGTAATATTGGATCATTTTCCTGAATAAATAAATGATAAAGTATATATTTTCATCTCATTTGTTTGATTAGGTTCTCTTTTTCAACTTTCAGGACTTGCATGAAAATCTGATGATTTTTTGGCTTATATTTATGCAGAAATATAGACAATTCTAAAGGGATCACAAACTTTCAAGCAGCACTGTATATATATATATATATATATATATATATAGACTTGAGTTTGCATCCAAAAAGGGCCTTCCTTGAGATGCTAACATTCAGCATGCATCTGACTTTTTTGGTTTGATATCAGACAGCATTCCTTAAAAGTGCATTATTTACCCAAACGGTAACACTTTAGAATACCGTTCCGTCATTAATGAGTAACTACACAGAAACAAATGAGTAACGCAATATTAACACATTAGTAACTACTAGTAACTAACAGGAAACGATTAATGAATTGGTAAGAAATAGCGCTTAGTCGAATATGGTAGTTCACTATTAGCTAATTAGTAACTACTGTTTTTTCATACCTCTCTTAGAACTACTAAGAACTACTGTGTACCGGTCCATAATTATTATGAATAATGCATAATGTATAATTAATTCTAAAGTGAAGGTCATGGTAACTGACTTGTAATGACTCAAATATTACCAAAGTCTTCATAAGGAATTACTAATTATTTGGATCAGTATTCTAAAGTAAATAACATGATAACTCTCTTGTCATGACTAAAATCATTGTAAGTGATTGGGGTTTTTGCAAGTTTCTGGATAATAATTCCTTTTGCTGGATTTGGTAACACGAGTCATTACTAGTGGGTTATCATGATCTTCACTTTAGAATTAATTATACATTATGCATAATTCACATTAATTATGAACTTGTATACAGTAGTTCTCCAGTATATGATAAAATAGTAGTTACTGATTAACTAATAGTAAACTACCACTTTCAACTGAGCGCTATTACTTACTATTAATCAGAGTTTCTTGTTAATTAATAATAGTTACTAGAATGTTAATAGTGCATTAGTCATTTGTTCTTATGTAGTTATTTATAAACAATGGAACAGTATTCTAAAGTGTTACCACCCAAACATACTGATTTGAAGGGTTGAGAAGTATGTTTTGCAATTATTTTTATAATAATGATCTCTGGCAAAAGGTACTTATTTGTTTCTGATTACATAGTATTTATTGTCTGCAGCATGGGCTGTGCTGATTAAGTTATTTGGCTGCTTTAGATTAAAGTTTTGCTGAAAAATAGAAGATAAATTCATATAGCCAACATTTGTTTGCATAAAGAAGACGAATGTTTATAGATACTAGTTTCAGCACAAAGGTCAGACATCGCTCAAACAGCCCACATACCCTCCCACACTAGATCATCATCAATATTCAGATAAAAAGCACACAAATACACACACACACATCCTCCCACTTAATTTTTTTTTTTTTTTTACATTTTCTTATTTTTGTGCTCAATAGTTCTGCAGATGCTCAACAAAAGCATTTTTTCATACTTCAAGAGCTTTCATTTTACCTTTCAATGTATACACACAGGACAACATATATATGTTTGTCTATAGACAGACAAACAGACACACACACACACACACACGGGACATGCAGGCAACACTACTCTTGTTTCACTTCATTTATGTTAATAGGAAGATGTTCACACATTCAGAGAATGTTTCAGTGAACAGTCCAAAAGGTGATGCATTCATAGGCCATTTCCTAAGATTCATACAGTGCATGCAAGTGTGTGTGTGTGTGTGTGTGTGTGTGTGTGTGTGTGAACTAGAGCAAAAATTGTGTGCCTACACCGCTATAGATCTCAAAGGGCGATTATTTGAAAATGTTTATCTGCTCAGCTTGATATCACTACCCAGCATGCCTGTTTCTCACTGTATCCTGAAAAAACCCACCAAAAAACGTGTTTGCTTTCATCTGGTGCCAAGAAAAAACTCAGCGCTTGTTGATTGCTTGAATTCATTGGTTGTTTTGCACTCGTGGAGGAGAATTTATCGTTTTCTGCAAGTGTGTGTGTGTGTGTGTGTGTGTGTGTGTGTGAGAGAGAGAGCATGTGAGAAGGTGAGAAAAAAAGTGTCACACATCATCTAAATCTGCTGTAAATACCTCTTTGATAGATAGTGTCTATCAAATGAGGATGCCACATGGACAGATGAGTTGTTGCTCATGCGTCGATAATGACGGAGGAGAAAGACAACTCATTACCACTGAATACCATGGCTGCTTGAGCCTGACTGTGGATGCTCAGGAGCCCAGAGGGCCAAATGAAGGACACAATGAGCACAATGGTAAGAATATCCAATGCTATGACTCATTGACCAGCAACAGAAGACAACTTAGCAGATAACTGGTGGAGCGAGCTGGTTAACACTGCTTGGCCTGTGGTTTATTTTGATCGGTGGTCTACGAATATAAGTTAAGACTAAAGGTCCAGTACTTTGTCTATATTGATGTTAGTTTGCTCTTTGGTATTAAGTATAGTCTCAATATAAACAGAAGGCAAGATTATGCAACTGTGCTGCTGGTTCTCTCTTACTCAGCTAACGCAGATTTCTTTGGCCCGTATGGTAATTTGTGTGTGTGTGTGTGTGTGTGTGTGTGTGTGGGACTGAGAAAGAGGCAGAGAGCTAAGTCCTCCACTAACTGAGAGAGAAAATTTACGAGATGTGACCTTGCACCAGACCGCTTTGGTGGCGGATGACTCATTTAACTCATCTTATTAAAATGCAGTGAACTTCTTCGTTAGTTTTGGCCCCTTCTTGTGTTCATGACCCTCTTCGTGCTTTTTTTTTAAAATATTTAGTCATTTTTGCCATTTGCAATTAATCAAAATGTGCTGTATACAATACATATTGGTGACATTGCATAGTCAAAATGGTAGTTGACCTTAAAAGCTTTTTTTTTTTTTTTGCAGGGAGCTGTTTTACATTTACTTTAAAAAATATTTAAAAAATGAAACCCTTAATGGTGTTGACTTGAAATTAATTTAACAGCATGATGTTTATACTACTTATACTATATAAACTTATCTGTGATTGTCAAATTCATGCGAATGTACACATGTTAAAAAAAGTGATCGGTCACACTTGCACTACTGAAGTGTAAAACTGAAATGTTTCTCCTGATATATCTAACACCATCTCAAAAACTATGAGTCTTTTTATAATAAAGCACCGAAGGTTTTTGTGAATTTGGTCTATGTATAATCAGATAAAGGCCATCTGATGACATAGTTTCTGTTTCTTTGCATCTAAGTTAGCTGGAATTTTTTTACCATAAAACTTACTTTTTGATGGTTATCTTAAATGTGTCAGACTTATTTGATTGTTGTGCATTTGAATTATGTAACTTTTGAGCAAGCTAGATAAAACCAAGACACAATCTGATCAATTTCTTTGTTAAAAATTAATGGAGTATCAGTGGAAGGAAGGTTGTGAGTTAAGTGAGAGATAATGCACAGTCATTTAGTCATCATTGCAATATAAATCACACTGCTTTATTTTATTATTGATGATGAAAGTCTGATTGCTTAATACATGACCAGCTACCATATACATAAATAAATACATGGATATTAAAATTGATTACGTGTTAAAGTTACTGTATTATGCGTGAAGAAAGAGACAGCAGAGTGCTACGAAAGACTTGCAGAGCTATGTAGGAAATCACTTGCCAATTTTTGTGATGACTGAGGCTTTTTAGAAATTCGGTTGCTATGGTGAGTGACTGCAGAGTCAGATGATTTGAAACTACACTGTTCTTCTCTGTGCCAGTCATGAGTTATGTTTTCACTGGTGGAGCGACACATATCGCAGTTAAATATTGTTACCAACTGTGTCATAAACATAACTGTCAACCATTGTTACAGTACGTGCTTCTTATTATTGCTTTTAAATGTCACAGTTAAGTACTAAGGAAATAGTGCTGATATTTTTATTGTCATTGTCAGTTATACAGTAATGTGTTAACATGCTAAGTGTTACTGCTGTATAGATGAAGTGCAGTTCCATCTTAGCTGATTAGCAGGCGGTAATAGCATGATGTTAATTACACCTGGCACCTAGTTTTGTGAATCTGTGCGCCAACATAGATTTTTAAATAGAAATTTTACATAGAAAGAATGAAACGGTGATGACAGATACTTAATTTAAGTACTCAAGATGCAAAGCTATTGGTTAAACTTGACTACAGGTGGTTATGAGACTAAAACGGTTTAGTTAATTCCCTCTGTCTCTCTATTTCTCACTCCCTTCTCATTCTCTCTCTTTCTCTTGCTCTCTCTCCAGAGTAAATCTGGCTTTGGCCTATACTGAACTAACAGAGGAGTTGGGCAAGCTACAGGCTCTGACCTCGAAACAGACAGAGATATTGCGAAAAGCCTCACAGGAGCCGGCAAGCCCAGGTAGGAGGACAAGGATTTCAATATGTCATCAATATTATACATTCAGTTAGAGACATATATATTTGAACAACTATAATTACACTTTACAGAGTCATGAACATACACTATGTATCTAAAAGTATGTAGACATCTTCTAATTACCCGTTTGTATAGTCGAAAGAGCTCAGTGACTTTATTTAATGTGGCTTTGTCACAGGATTCAACCAGTGAAATGGTTTACAAATATATACATGTCTGTGTGTGCATTTATATACTGTATACCTATAAATATGCACAGTACACACATTACAGAGTTCTATAGAACTAACTGGCTTAATTAGCCCATTTCAAATGGCTGGAAAAAAGAAATCACTATTTAATTTCATGAAATAGTACCGGTATTACTTTATATTCTAATGACCCACGACACTCAATGAAGTCCTTTGGGATGAGTTGGAACGTCCACTGCCAACGCCTGACCTTACTGATGCTCATACTTTTTGCCATGTACAGGGTAATGAAGACCTGGTTTAGGTAATAATCATATTTTCATACTTTAATAAACCTCTTTTGTAATTCAGCCAATTTGTCAAACTCATAAAAATTCAGCAAAGTAGGTGGGTAAACAGGCACTTTTTTTAGCACTGCATGCTTGTTTGCTGTCTGGTTAAATTCCACAAGGAATGTTTTTGCTGACATGTTCTGATCGCCTCTCACGTCGAGTGCCTCTTAAGAGTTTGAGAACATAAACAACTCCCCCCTTATCTTTTTAGCACCTCTGCGCTCAACCACACAACCCATTTGATATAGGAAACCAGACCAAAAAGCAGAAGCGGAGATGGAGGGAGAAAAAACCCTACTGATTCATAGATAGAAGGACTGATTTCTCTAAATAGCTGATTGCAATCTCACGATTGCAGGAAGCTCAGTGTATGCACGTTAGACTTATTATTGAGAGACAGATGCATCTTCTGTACAGGATCTTGTGTGCCCGTTGCTAGTCAGAAAGTGGTGTAGCAGTAGCCTACCACAGGTGCTGGGGTGAATGCACAGGAAAACGATACGAAAATATCTCAAAGAGGAAATGTGAGGGGAAAGAGGAAGTCATTACAGACATCTATCTGTCCATTAGGGACTGTGCTGTTTACACCACTTTTTAAGATATCCTTCCGGTAATAAAATTAACCATGCTACATTTAATGAAATAAAATATTCAGATATATTATATATGAATTTAGATATTTAAATTAACAGAAACTACATGTCTTTACCCAATGCCCATGTTTTACGTAGAGCATATTCACTGTCTTACGCTTTTAAGACTAACTCATAACTTAGTTCACTTGCGTGAGATATTGTGCAGATGTAAGTTGTAATATGTTGTGTCTACTGTATCAATGCATGTTAATATCTTGTGGTGGCATGTTTTTAATCAACAGTATTTAAAATTAAATTGTTTAAATATCGTCATGCTTTTTCGTCTTGTCTTTGTTACGGTTGATGAAAAAAAATCTTGTTAAATTTACGATGTACGGAGCCCCATAAATATATTTATTGATTTTGTTAATTCTAATTCTTACTTCCTGGCCTCGATTTAAATAAAACCATTTAAATAAAATGAAAATTCAGGCTTTGTAAAAGCAAGGCTTCATAATGATGAAACAGATTTTTCTTCCATGTTGTGACATACATCCAAGTCTAACAAATTGATTATAAAGAAAAATGTGTATTTATTGGTTGCTGATTGGATTTTGAGATGTGGAGGAGGCACAAATGACAGGTAGATGAATGTGAGCTTGCAGGGGCAGAGTTTAAGCGCACTAAATGAGGAAAAAGCCCAACATACATCACCATAGAGAAGTCTGTCCTCTGACCAGCAGTTTGAGTTATGATATATGATTAATATATGAGGCTGACTTTAAAGAGCGATATCATCAGTAATTTTGTTGACAAGATTAACACTGATCTCAAGCATTTATTCAGTGTGTTTATTTAAACATGTATCTTGTCTAATATTCATTCTGCTGATTTTTTTCCACTTTTTAAATGTCCTGTGTTTATTTTCTAGTTCAGCACCACTCTCCTGTCCCTCACCAGAGGCATTCTCCTGTTCCGCAGCGCCATTCCCCAATCCAACAGCGCCATTCTCCCATACAACAGCGCCATTCGCCTGTTCCCCAGCGGCGCTCGCCAGTGCTGCAGCGTCTCTCTCCAGACATGCATCGTCGCTCGCCTCTGCCTGAGCTCAGCGACGGCCCCGCATCCTATTCCTGCAGGCCCACTTCCCACCACTTGAGGGCCAGTTTCCAGGGAAGACGCAGTTACTCTGAAGTAGCCGATCCATCAGCTTATCAACGGCCCCCACGGTTCACTCTGGACCCGGTGTCCACTTTGCCGAAACCTCGACCATATGTTGACAGCTACCACAAGCAGCAGCAGCAACAGCAACAACAGCAACACGGAGGAAGCCAGCACATGTTAGTTCAAAGACAGGGCTCTCAGTCCGGGGTTGGAGGTGATGGGGGTTTGGCTGAATCTCCACGGCTGTCCAGGGAGCTGTCTTTCCACCACTCGGATGTGTCCCACTTGCATTTTGAGCCTCAGCCCAGCCCAGCACCTCTGCATCCATCCCCACAGCCTCCACAGTCCTCAGAGGATGAGGAGGAGTGGTCCTGCCCTCATCCCATCAGTCCTCCGCGAACACTGGGGGTGTCAAGCCCCTCATCAAGCTCCAGAGGCCCCGCCTCTTGTTCCGCTTTCCCCATTCCTTCCCGTCCCAACACCCTAAGCTGTCACCCACCTGGATACCTGCACGCAGAGCATGCCCAGTCTTGGCCATCCATCAATGTGAGTAGAAAATCACATTCAGTGGCCAGAATAACCTACCTAGGCTTATTGGAAATGTGCCTGTGATTACATTTCTGTGAAATGTTACATTGCTTCTGGCTCATTTCATGACAATTTCAAAGTGAAATGTATAGTAAGTGGCGCTAAAAGCATGTTCAGTTTTATCCAAAACAGATGAACATAAATCTGACTCGTACCCCAAGCACGCCATATTGAAAGTGCAATGCTGTACCTGGTGAGCTACCAAGCAAGTTTACTACATCAAAAAAGCCATGTGATGCTAATGTCAAAATGTATCAGTTTACAAATCATGCATTATTGTAAAAGTGTTTTGAGGTCATAATATAGTGTTGTGCATAGAACCATAGAACAAAATTCTAGATAATAAAGACAAAAACGTATTTATTAATTTAAAATCTTACCCTGTAATCATAAAAAAGAAAAGGAGTAAAAGTTGTTTGTTTTACCACCAATAGTGTTCATTTGAGCTAGAAAATGCGGTATTAACTGTATAAATAGATATGTTTTTGGCATTTTGCAAAAATGTAGGTAGAGGCTCATTTTTCCAATGAACCTATGTTGAGAATATACAGTGACAAAGGTGAAGTGTGTAATTTCTACACCATTTGTGTCACCAAACGGAATTAAAAAGTATTTTTTTCAGACTGGATTCCTCAAACTTGTGCAGCATTCAGAATTAAATTGAGAATGCTTAAATTGAGAAAGTCATGACAAAGCCATGTGTTAATATTTAAAAGGCTTGAAGTTTGAAATGTCACCTAAATTTGTTTCCTAATTCACATATATTTTTTTGTATTTAATATAAATTTGTAGACCAGGGAGGAATAACAATTAATTAATTTAAAATCCACATCCTGTATTCCCAATTCAACTTCCTGTAGAGTTTGGCCAATTAAATTTAAATAAGAACTTATGGATTGAAAGGGAGATTTCTAATGCACAACCGTGATCTGCTACTGGCTGTACAAACAGATAACCCCGTCCCCAAACTCACCCCATTGGTTGAGCCACCATTGCTGTGTCTGGCTGCTCTAACAAACACAGAAATATTTTGAAAGCACCATGGAGACAGTGTTTAGAGAGGAACCCATATTCATATGGCTTACTTATAGCTGTCTGTGCCAAACAAGCTAGAAAAGGAAAAGAGTTTAAACTCAATAAAATACACATTTCACATTTATTGTATCTTTTAGATTTTAAGACGTGGATTTTAAATATTATGGCTTTCAAACATATCACTGTGCCCTTTGCAGCTGTGGATGGAGACAGAGGAGGAGGGTGACGTCAGGAGCTGCCCGCTGTGCCAGCTAATCTTCCCTATTGGTTACCCTGATGATGCCTTGATCAAGCACATTGACTCGCACCTGGAGAACAGCAAGATCTGACACCCACAGCCACGCCATGCCCATTACCTTCTGTTGTTCCACAGTTACATTCATTCTTTGCTCCTGGTATTTTTAGCCGGGTGCTTTCAGGCAGAATGTAGGCGATGCACCTGTGGCCAGTCTCCCAATTTGATAAGTGAAACGGAGATCTGTGATTACCTGCAAAACTCAAATGTGTCATGAATGGCTTATATCTCTATATATCGCTTCTTTTCAACAAAAATTTCTTGGAAAATGGTAACTTTGTATTTTAAACACTGTTTATCAACAATTATACACACTAAACCAAACTGACTGAGCATATTGCAATATTATGGCTCTCATTTCAGCTACAGTTCAACTACAGTTCCTATGATTATTTGCATTATTTACACTTTAATGTGGTCACAGAATGTGCTTTGTGGCCATTTTTGGAGAACTGAGTAGTTATGAAGGCGCTATACAGGATGAGTATGAGGGAATATTAGACATAATGGCCAATGGTTGCATTATTTGAATTTCAGCACTTTACATAAGCCCTTAATATCCAGTTTACCTTTATCAATACTACTAACACTGAGGTAAAAATGTAATGTTAATATTTCTATATCCTTATAGAAATCATTTATTTTTTAATACTCCAGGGTCTTGAATACCCTTAAATATATCTTAGTTTGGCAGGACTTCCCTTTAACAAAACTGAATTCTTTGTAATTATCTGTAAATTCACAATCGCATCTATTTTTTTTTTTTGTCTTCCGGGGTGTTTGGCTGTAAAAACAGCGAAGATTTTTTCTTAAAAATATTCTTAAATAATTTCTTCTCATAATGTACATAATGATTGCAGCTCTGTGCACACAGTTTAGCCAACCACTGACAAAACACCAGTTACTGTTGTTCTCAAGACAGCAATACTGTGATTTCCATAGTACACTTAGACAGCAGATTGTTTTTGATGTAATTACTTAAGAAAAATTGCTTTGACAAAATATATTTGTTCGTCTGATCACATCACAGAGCGCAATCTGTTTTATCAGTTCAAACTTTTTTAATGTACTGTAAATGTATACCTGTATTTAAAGCCAATTATATGTATTAACCTATATAATATAGATATGCATTTTTCAAGCTTGGATAAGAGCAAATGGAAAACTACTGGAACTGCTAATTCAATGTTTTGTATTGCTGTGATCCAAATGATACAGCACCAATTTGAGTGTGTTTAATTAGTGTTTAATTATCTTACTATTCCCTATTCTTCCAGGTGTACCTTATACTATGTTATAAAGTCTTCTTTCTCGCTACTTTCCCTGAGTCTGCAGACTTTGTAAAAACGAGGGCACTGGATCTGCTACTAACCCAAATACAGAGGAACTAAAATGGGAAAGTAGCACAAAGAAGTCATCGCTGGTGCACATGAGCAAAATTACGAAGCCAAATATAGCGAAGTGCAAAATAAGAAGCTATATGCTGTCTGTCAAATAACTGGGTGGAGGTTTCATTCAATTGGTCATCTAATTTTATGTGGTAATTGCTAATATTCTGGAAAATACCATTCCAGATGTTGTAAATATACGAATCGTCTATGATGTCACCATTCCAAATACCATGAAATACAAGTGTGGATAAACTGAAATGCCATCAATGCAACCAAAGACACAGTCTGCTTGTTTTTTTTATTTCTTTTCACACGATGACCAAGCACCACTTAAGAATATTACCCTGAAATATGGTGCGACTGAAACATGTGGAAGAACATTTTCGATGAATAGTGTGCAGACGTGGAAAGATGCAGCTAAAGTGTAAAGACAATCCATTTCTGCATAATCACCCACAAGTTTCCATATATAAATATATATTATATCTTGTCTTGCACCCTTGTCCACGAACATGGAGAGTACAGGTGCATCTCAATAAATTAGAATGTCGTGGAAAAGTTCATTTATTTCAGTAATTTTGATCAATTTAAAGCATCCTTGCTAAATAAAAGTATTAATTTCTATAATTAAAAAAAAAATTATACTGACTCCGAGCTTTTGAATAGTATAGTGTATAATGTTACAAAACATTTTTATTTCAGATAAATGCTGATCCTTGGATCTTTCTGTTCATCAAAGAATCCTGAAAGCAAAAATTTACTCAACTGTTTTAAATATTGATAATAATTAATAATAATAATTTTTTTTTTTTAAAGTGTTCCTTGAAAAACTACTTCAGTCTGTGTGCACTGAATTTATTTAATACACGAGTTTCACAATTTGAGTTGAATTACTGAAATAAATGAACTTTTCCACGACATTCTAATTTATTGAGATGCACCTGTAGAAGCAAAGTAAAACTTCAGCCACTATTCACAAAGATTCGCTCAGGAGTTATTTACAGTAAAGAGCTATTGCTGTTACCTTGCTCCTCAAGACAGTGTTTTTTTTTTTCTCATGCAAAGGCAAATTAGCAAACTGAATGCTTTTCTGGATGCTCAAAGTCTCTCTTTTGCCCTGTAGTTTGGTGTGTGATTTCTTTGTGATATAACTCAGGGGATAAAGCTTTGTGAATATGGCTCCTTGACCATACACAACTAACCTCCACTGGGACAATGTGAGAATTCACCAAATCTATTGAAGAGCCAAGAGGACGCTAATGGGGTAGAGAGATTTTGTCATACCAACAAGGTATACTTTAAAGAAAGAAAAAAAATGAATGCATATTGTGTCAAAAAATATTCTGTAAATATTATGAAATAAACTGGAACATGCTCTAATTTGGTGTACATTTGTCTGATTTGGTGAATATTGCTAAAATTATCCACAAATGATGCTTTTCACTCAAAAACTGAGGTGCATAAGCACAGTTCAATGAGGCTTTCGATCATTAAGCACCAACATTTCACAATATTACTGCTTTTGCTGTATTTTGGATAAAATAAATGCAGGCTTGGTGAGCAGAAGAGAACTATTTAAAAAAACATTAAAAATCTTACTGTTCAAAACATTTTGACTGGTAGTGTACAGTATATGCAGGGTTTTTTTTGTTTTTTTGTTTTTTTTTACCAAAAGTATGTTTTATGATGATCTCTTATAATAGATAACTTAGAAAGAGTCTCTCTCTCTCTCTCTCTCTCTCTCTCTCTCTTTAATTCATTGAACTGATAGCAATAGAGTTGGTTTTGTCAAAGTGCTGTTTTAAAACTCACATCTGTTTTCCCCTAATTCCCCCACCCCACTTCCGACACTTTGTGTCATTTCTCTGTCACATGCATACATGCTCAGAGAGAGATGCACTTCTCTCAAGTTCACAGGATGGCCCGCCCATCCGCTCAAAACCACATGCTCTCCGTGAAGAGCTCAGTACTCTCTCTTTCTCTCTTTTCTTTCTCCTTTTCTCTTTTTTTCTCTCTCTCTTTCCTTTTCTTTCTTGACAGACTCACACAAACAAACACACATCACACAGGCAAATGCCTCCACCTCAAACATTTCAGCAGATATAGGTCAAATGTAGGTTTTAGGGGGACTAATTAAAATTTTATCACAAAGGGAAATCAAAGCCAAGTTGATTTATGAATTATAATTAATTTCAAACATTACCATAAGTACAAACTCAATTTTTTTTATTGCTTTGGGGAAGTTAATAAGATTGCCCTAAATAGTTTTTAAATTTTTTTACCAATATTTATGCCTAAATCTATAATATTTAACTGTTGTGAACAGGGGAAAAAATATATCGGCTAAAATAAAAAAAGCATTCAAAGACGTTTTTCACCTTTTGTCTGACGTTCATGGGAAAAAGTGATATGACATGTGGCCAAGGTGACCCATACTCGGAATTAGTGCTCTGCATTTATCCCATCCAAAGTGCACACACACACAACAGTGAACACACACACCCCGGGGAGCAGTTGGGGGTTCGGTGCCTTGCTCAAGGGGACCTCAGTCGTGGTATTGAAGGTGGGAGAGAGCGCTGTACATTCACTCCCCCCACCTACAATCCCTGCCGGTACGAGACTCGAACCCGCAACGAGTCCGACTCTCTAACCATTAGGCCACGACTTCCCCCAGCAAAAAACAAAAAAAACATAGAAACAACTTGATAGACTATGATAAGAGTTCAGCGTTAGTGGTAAACACAAATATCTCTTTTCTGAAGTGTTGCTGCCATCATCTTCACACTTTTCTTAAGGCCTTACACTAAATAACTAAAGTTCTCAAAAGTGAACAATTGGATAAATCCTGAAACGTTTTGTGAAGGCGACTTGGCGTATACATGCATTAATATCACCATGGATTTTTTTTTTTTAAATCAACGTATGCACACACTTCTCATGGCCAAAAATATGTGGAATCCAAAAACCACATCAATAGGTGCTTGTTGAATATTTAATTCTAAAACCACTGGCGTTAATAGTGAGTTGGTCCTACCTTTGCTGCTGTATCTGGGAAGACTTTCCACTAGATGTTGGAGAACGGCTGAGGTGGTTTGCCCCTTTTTAAACACAAAAGTATCAATGGTATCAAAAGGTCCTTGAATCACAGTCAGCATCTAAATTCATCCCAATTCATTCAGTGGTGTTCATGTTTGGGCTTTTTGCTGAACTGTCATTTTCTTTCACACCGGTAAATAATTTCTTTATGGACGTCACTTCTATGCCCAGGCATATTGTCATACTGGAACAGGAAAGGTACACAAAAATGTGCATGCTGCATGATTGATCATATGCACCTGCTAGTAATGGGGGCAGGTGAAATAGCCAAACCAGTTAAT